TGGTGAGTTTGCGACTAACCCCTCCACGGGCAACCCACCCTCTGCACGACTCAGCTAGTCGTGAATGTTTCGTATGATCATGAGTGCACTCAAGAAAATGGGTCAATAACGACCAACAAAATTGGTCGCTAAAAATGTTAATTTGGACGCTAAAACAAATAGCGACAAAAAAATTTTGGGTCGCTAATTTGTCGCAGTGGCCTCGTCGCTGAGGCTTTTAGCGACCAAAAAAAATTTTAGGTTGCTAAATTAGCAACCACTAATTAGTATTGGTCGTTAAAATTAAACATATTAGTGACCATTTTTTTGACACTAATGAATATTATTTGGATGCTATTAGTAATTTTGATAATTAATTTTATTTAATACATTTTTCCTATAGCTACCAAAATAAAAAATTGGTCGCAAAATGATCAACCAAATAAATCACATGCCCCTTTAATTTTATTCCTTTAATTTCATTAGGTTTTGATATATATTTATGGATAGAAAATTTATGATATTTAGTAAAAAATTATTATCCAATTATTATGCCTTAGCAATAAAAAATATGAGCAATCCATCACTCCTTTATATTACAATTAGTTAGATAAATTTAATAATAGAGAAATAACACATTTTTTTAGCTTGAGATAACAATAATAAAAAACATATAATCCAAAAAATTATATTCATCCGGCAGTATCATTGTCAAGAATTTGTTAGCAGAAAATGAAAATTATATTCATTCATATATTTTTACAAATACATCCATTAATTAACATAAAAATGCGATCTCAGAAATCATTAATCATAAAATCTTAATATTAATAAAAAGATAACATCTAGTTAACATAAAAATCTTTCATTAACTTTTATGCAAATAAATATAAAATTACAAAATCATCTCTAACAAAGGTAAATGACAACATCAATTTGTAGTCATGCTGGCACCAATCAATATCTTGTACTGCTGCAGTGTGAGATCTAACTCCATAACAATCAATACACATTTCGGATGCAAAGAACTTCAACTTGGAGTACAAGTAGGCAACCCCTACATAAAAATTTTATAAACAAGATTACTAGAATATTTCAGCAATTCCAAGATAATTCAATGTTTTTTTTGGTTAAAACCCTCTTATGGGGCCTACGAGTTCATTTAAAACATCGGTTACACAATCCTTAAAAGACTCCACCAGCTCAATATTGCTCATAAGAGCTACAATCCAAAAAGAAAAAAGAAAGCCTACGAGCCGGCAGATCCTTATACTACGATTACAAAAAGAACTTAAAATAGTCGGGCTAATCAGCAAAAGCACCCAAAAAAGGAGAGACCAATTAATCTTTATAACTTTCAGCTCCGCTCTCCTGCAAAAAAATCTACGGTATAGCAAAATGGAAAAAACATAAAATAAAATAACATACCTTTGTCAAAATTCTGCCTTGCTTGTAATAGTACCTACAAAGAAACCTCAAGGAAAAAATTAGCCCAAAGATATCATGAAACAGCATAAAAATCCACCACCATAGAAAGAACGAACCGCACCACACCAAACCCTGCATGGCAAACCAACCAACATGCCAACAGAATCGATAAAACGCCTTGCCCTTACCAACAGAGATATCCTCCAAAATCAGCCAAAAAGTACCAAACCCACCAACACCAGAAATACAAGATATAACCCAATCACAGGACACAATAGCCCCCAAAAAATCCAAGATATAACCCAAGTAAACGACACAAAGCCTCCAGTTAAAAAGGAGAAACTACCCAGATAGGCTCCAGAAAGAAAACCAGCCGGACCAATACCTCCAGAACATATACGTAAACCACCACAACCCCCATCGGATAGCACAAAGCTCCCAGTTATACCAAAATAACATCAACAGGAAACAGCCCCAGAACATCATGCCTAAAGCGTGATAAACCCAGCTAGACCGGAAACAGCAAAACAAAGCCAAAAACCCAGAATACATAAAATAGCAGCACAGTTAGCAGCTTCTCATGTAGGGCAGACCCATGCGATCCAAATTAATCAGCCCTTCAATGTTCCTGGGAATCGAAGCATCATTAAAATGGTAAAAACAATCTAAGTTACAACCCATCTTAGCTAAGGCATCAGCCACCGCGTTACCTTCTCGCAAAATGTGAGATATAGAGTAGTTCATACCAGACAAAGCTAATTTAATCTCACGAATCTTATAGAAGTTGGTAGGATTATAACTGGAATTACCACTGATATAATGAATTAGGAGAAGAGCGTCAACTTCAACCCAAATATTGATGAAACCAAGTGACAAACAAAGTTTAACACCAAAATTTAAGCTATCAATTTCAGCAGTAATAGCATTGGTACCAGAAGAAGGACCAGCAAAGGCCACAACAATTTTGCCATTATGATCGCGAATAATACCACCACAACCAGCAGTAACACTATTGTAGGAACCGTCCGTGTTTAATTTAAAATAGTCAATCACAGGACGCTTCCAGTAAATTAATTTCTCCCTACTCTGAATCTTTCTGTTGGAAAAAACCAAACCAAAAGCAGAAGCAGCATTATAATGGTTCTTGAAAGAAATTGGTTTAATAAGATTGGCATTATATAATTGGATAACTTTGTTCTTAACTTTGGAGATGATATTCATGGCATCCATACGAATATTGTTATGCTTGGAATCATTTCTACTGGCCCATAAGTACCAACATATAAAGACAGGAATAATATTTCTAATATGCCCTTTGATAGGGATGATCCAATCCCTAATTTTAGTAGTAAAAGAAGCATAATAACCATCCACCATCACTTTAAAGATATTATCAAAATAATTCCAGACTTTGATAGCAATGGGACCATTAATGAACACATGATTAATATTCTCAAAATGATAGCAACATTGACATTTAGAGACAATAACCAATCCTTTCTTCCTAAGCAAAGAATCAACAGGTAAATAGTTAAAGATAATTCTCCAAAAAAGAAAAGAATAGGTAAGAGGGATATTATCATGCCAAAAAAATTTATAAAGATTATTATTAGGCAAATTCTGTTTCACCGAAAACCAAACAATCTTAGTATTAAATTTACCATTAGGGGCCTTGTTAAAAAGAATGCAATCATCAATATTCTTATGAATAGAAATCTTAGAAATAAGCTCGATAATAGAATCAGGAATAACATCAGCTAATAAATTCAAATTCCAGTTATCAAATGTATAGAAATCCTTAACTTGCATCTTAGAGATAGAGTGAGTATTTAAAATATTATCAATAGAGAAATTACCCAGCCATTTATCTTGCCAAAAATAGATGTTGCCCGCACCCAACCCCCATTGAATAAATTCTTCAGCCTCCCATTTAACTTTACACAATCTCTTCCAGTTAACAGAATCACCAGGTTTATAAGAGCATAACAAGGGGTGATAATGAGAACAATATTTGACGTTCATATAATTAGCCCATAAACTTTTATTAGATCTGAATGAAAACCAGAGTTTATGACTAAAAGTTTTGGTCATATCGGCAAAGGTACGAAAGCCAAGACGACCTTCCTCCTTAGTCCCAGCACAATTAGACCAAGAGCTCCAAATAATAGATCTCTTGTCACCTTTACAACCCCAAAGAAACTTGTTAAAAATAGTTTCCATTTTGTTGCAAATATAATTAGTAGGACTAAGTGTATGCATAAGATAGATGGGAATAGAACTAAGCACATGTTTAATGAGAACCATTCTACCACCATAAGAAAGAAAATTATAAGCCCAAGAAGATAATTTCTTTTGAATGTTCATAAAAATATTATCAAAAAGATGGGACCATTTTTTCCCTTTATAAAGAGGAACTCCAAGATACTTAATAGGAAGGACAGTTGCATTAATACCAAATCTTCTACTAATATTACCAATACGCGTAGCAGATATAATTTTGGCAGGAATAAAAGCACACTTGGTAGAATTAAACGTTAACCCACTAGCTTGCTGGAAAATGTTAAGAAAATTGAAGAGAAATTTAAGCATTTTCATGGAACCATTAGAAAAAAGAATAAAGTCATCCGCAAAACTTAAATGAGTAATGGCCACACCCCCAATAGTTTTGTAATAGAGCTTAGGGTGACAACTAAAAAGATTATTAATACCACGAGAAAGAAATTCAGCAGCAATGATGAAAAGAGCAGGAGATAACGGATCTCCTTGTCTAATACCATTAGAAGACTTGAAAAAGTCCTGGGCCTTACCATTGATAATAACAGAAAAGTAGGAGTTTTCAATACAGTGTTTGATGAGATTTGTATATTGCAAATTAAAACCAAATAAATGCATGATTTTGTAAAGAAACTTCCAATTTAAATTGTCATAAGCTTTAGATATGTCCATCTTAAAAATGACATTCCCACCAGAAATTTTCGCATTAAGATCATGAATCATTTCTTGAGCAAGTAAGACATTGTCAAAAATAGATCTACCTTTCACAAAACCCGTTTGTTCTAAAGAAATAATCTTAGGAAGAAAAACAGCCAGCCTACTCACAAGAATCTTAGTAATAAGTTTGTTGAAAAATGTGCATAAACTAATGGGGCGAAAATCATTCCAATAAGTAGCACCAACAATTTTAGGAATTAACACAATAGTTGTTGAAGTAAAGAATTTAGGCATAGGATTACCTTCAAAAAAATCTTTCACAGCATTGATAATATCATTTTTAAGAATTGGCCAGAACTTTTGGAAAAACTTGTTAGTAAAACCATCAGGACCGGCAACAGAATCAGTGTTCATATCTTTGATACTAATAAGAATCTCCTCTTCATTAGGAATACTATTCAAAACCAAATTGTCATCATTAGTAATAAGAGAAGGAATAAAATAAAAATCTGTGTTTAAATTAGGCAAGAAGTTTCTATTAAAAATATTCTCAAAAAAATTAGAACCAGAAAAAGCAATCAAATCTTGATTAGTAATCTCCTCCCCATCCGGAGTAATAAGTTTATGGATATTTCTGCTAGTTTTATTGTGATTGGCAATGTTATGGAAATAAGAAGTATTCCTATCCCCCTCCACAAGAAACTTAACAGAAGCTTTTTGTTTCCAAAAGGCTTCTTCTTTTTCTTGTAAATTAGCCAAAACGTTCTTGGCATTGTTAAGAGCATAAAGATTGATATCATTGGACTGAGACATGTACATACGATCGGCCTTATCGACCTCATTCTCAGCAAGTTTGATGTTAGAAAATATATTTTTAAAGATGTTCTTGTTCCACCATCTAAGAGGTTGTTTCAACCTCTTAAGCTTGAACCAAAGCCTATTCATACCAGTCACATTATCATTGGGATGAAGAGGAGCAGCCCAATTACATCTAATAATGTTTTCAAGTCTGTCATCCAACAACCACATGTTCTGAAACCGAAAAGGTTGAGAAACAGCGTTACTATTAGTAGAAACAGTAAGCAGTAACGGAGAATGATCAGATAAAGTCCTAGATAAATGTTCAATATGAGTGTTATGGAAAATGGAAATCCACCTGTCATTGAAAAGGATCCTATCCAATCTTTGCCACATGGTTCCCCTATTCCAAGTAAAGTTATTACCCAAAAAGCCAATGTCATGAAGATTACAGTTTAAAATCATGTCATTGAAATCCTCCATAGCTAACAAATGAGGAGAGTTTCCACCAATCCTCTCGGAAATATTTGTAATACAGTTAAAATCTCCTCCAACCAACCAAGGAGCACTAATAGTAGAGTAGAAATCATGAAGCAATTCCCATAGAATTTTTCTACCAATTCTAGTACAGGAAGCATAAACAAAGGAGGCATAAATGGAAATATGATTAAAATTAGCATTAACATGAACGACTTGAGGAAAATCACTAATAATATCAATAGAAAAAGACTGTTTCCACATAATCCAGATCTTGTTAGTACAATTGGCATAAGCATGATCAAAACCCAACATATTGCAGATATTATCTAATTTAACAGCATAAACAAAAGGTTCAAGTAAAACGAGAATCTGAATGTCATTACTCCTACAAAGGTTCTTAACCCGATCTTTCGAAGTGGTATTACCCACCCCCCTTATATTCCAAATGAGGACTTTAAACATTAATAACATTGTTGGAAGCACGAGTAGCCCTAGGGTTCTCGGAAGGCACAGTTTTTTTATTTTTTCCTTTCTTTTTCACTTGAACAAAGACTTCCTCCTCCACGTTCTTCCCCTTATAATTCGGATTTGACACCGCCTCATCGTTTAGATCACTCAAATTATCAATTGGAAGAACAATTTCAAGTGACCCAATTTCTCCTTCTTCCATACCATCCACATTTCCAGCCAAATCATCATCATCTTTCTCCATTAGATTTAAAGCTTTTCCACTATCTTTAGTAATACAAGGCTCTTTGGTAGTGCTATCAGCATTATTACAATTTTTTGAAGTATCGCAAAGTTTATCTCCATCCTTGGAATGGGACGGAGGCCTGGAAAGTTCCTCATCTTTATTTTCAAACATGTCATCCTCTTCATTTCCCGATAATACATTTTGGTGTAATTCATCATCCACTCTTTTGTCACCATTATTATCCTCTAAATCCTTCTCCAAAACAGCATAAGTATTAATATGAGCTTCTAACATAGTAGATTCAGTGTCAATTTCCTTATTATAAGGTTTATAACTAGGCTGAATAGCGTCTTGTCCCTCCAACATATCAAAATTTCCTTGCTTGGTGATTCCTTCCACAACCAAATCAACTTTTTTAGGAATCCCCTCCGACTATTTTTTTAAATGCGGATGAGCAACAAAACATTCCTGAATCGCGTGGCCATGAATTTTACAATGTAAACAAAAATCAGGAACTTTCTCATATTCAACTTTCTGTAAATAACCACATTTATCAGAACCAATCAATATTTCTTTAGGATGTTTTTTGGTAATGTCGATTTCCACAAGAACCCTCACAACAGAAGGTCTAGACCTATTAGCAGTCGCCTGATCAATTTGCAACGGACGACCGAAAATAGAGCCTAAAGCATGAAGAACATGATTATTGAAAAAATGCAACCTTAAATTAGGAAAAGATATCCAAATAGGCACAATAGGTTATCCTTCTTTCACATAAAAAAAAGGAGTCCATTTTAGTAATCTCATTTGACAGTTTAAAATGAAGTAAGATCGCCTCGAAAAAACCCGACTATAGTCTAAATCATTCGATAATTGTATAGAAACATGTCTAGCATCAAGAAGGCCAATTGAAAAATTTCCAAAAAGCTTAAGTTTCGAAAAAAAATTTCTTATAGCATCAAGGTTCGGCCGCCTCACAGTAAATTTTCCAACCAAAGTGAACTGATAAGGACTAGCTAATTTCAAGATATCATCCTAAGACATAAGAAGAGCAGGAACGCCTTTAACCGTAGATTTAGTGAAAGAGATTACCGGATTTTGAGAAGATGAATCACCCGTGAGAACATCTCGAAAAGACCTAGAAGCAGGAGAAAAAGATCCAGACAAACCTTGCAAAGAATCGCCCTTATTAGACGGTGGAACACCCCACACACCATTCGGTAGAGTCACTTGACTTTTCTCCATGAGGAAAAAAGAAGGAACAGGGCCAAAAGGCCAAGATCGAAACCACAATCGCGATCAAAACAAGAAAAAACAGAGGAGAATAAAGGAAAAAGATCTGGAAGCAAAGAAAGGAGCGGGCCGCCAAATCGCAAAGAAATCGCCAGAGCACAGGAAACCCTAGCGAAAAAAGTTGTCGAAAGATAATTCAATGTAAAATTGTAGGAAACTTGCATATTGATTGGCATCATATCTTCCTCAAAGCAAAGTTCATAAAAATATGATAGATGTTCTACTGATTGATCGCCTCCCTACAAAATTTTAAATAAATTATTTAAAAAAATATTATTTTCTGTCATTCTATGAATATGAAGAGTAAAAACTCAAGGAAACAAAAGTAATAATAATAATACTTCAAGTCACACCAAAGCTGTATGAACCACTAAAATCCAATAAAATCATTAACTTTGGTACTACTTTTTGAGTGAACTAAAGGAGGAACAACGTTGGGCTAAACAAACTAATGATAAATTTCATTTTCAACTAAGAATATCAAACCTGTAAGAAAGAACAAACACTTGTATCGTATGAATTCTGTAACTTAGCAATCTGAGATTAAGGAAAAAAACTCATTAGATTGAAGAGTTTGAATATATCAATACCATAGTAGAATACATGAAAAATGATAGGAAGAAATGCATGGATACAAACATAAAAGGGAAGAAGAATAGCAATAAAAAAAACCAGCAGTTGCGTCCCAACACTACTAAAAAAGTAAGGCTTCCGCAACAGTTATTAGCAGCAAATTAATAAATCGCTGTAATAGACCTGCTCAAAATTAGCCGGGCGGGAATCTAAAAAAAGCAGCTAAAGAAATAAAGCCCTAGTTTTATTATTCAGCTCCACGCGCGCGACGCGGGAATCTAAAAAAAGCAGCTAGTGATGGCGATGTCCGGTATCGCCCTCGCCGCGACATTCGTCGTCTCTTCGCGGAGGTAAAGAAATCAATTTAAAAAAAAAACGCGGAATTGAAGGATTTTTCTTTACTTTCAGCAGAGTGAGAACCAAGGGGTAGATTTAGATGAATGCTCTGAGACG